AACATTTTTATTACTAGATTATATACTTAATTAAAGATTTTTTATGTTATATTTAATAATTATGTTTATTTTATTAATTTATCGTCGTTCCCACAAATGTACCTATAGTTAAATGCTAATGCAAGCGAGATTATATTTTATGACTTGTTTTAAGTGTGCGCGGCCTTAACCGTAGCGCGTGCTTAATTAGCGGCTATCATTCCAATTAACAAATTTCTCAATCGGGCTAACTTACAATTAGTTCCGAATCTTTTATCAAGGTCGAGATGGATTCGTTCCCCGCAAAAGAGGACAGCTAAACTATTTCACGCTTGCATTATCGCGTGTTTTCTAGTTTTATAATGGAAACAAACGTTGATAAATGACGTTTTACCGTTGTACTTGCGTCATCAGTGTGAATTTATGACTCGTTGCCAACAAGTGAAATTACGCTCGAGTGAAGTTTCTCGCGTCCGCCATTTTAAAATTTTCAGCCGGTGTTTATGTAGGTCATAGAGTAGAGCTTAAATTTTTTGCCATGTGGTACATTGATTACTTTTTACAGATTGAAGAGTTAATAATACACTATTTAATAATCCACGTAAACTTTATGTTGTGATTATTGCCGCCTATAAATTCAAATGCGTTGCCAAAATTTTAGAAGCGTTGGCGCCGGTTACGTTACAACGGCAGAAATGCAAATATAGATATAAAATTTGAGGACTCCATGGCACAGTTATTGGCTTCGGCGTCGGGGGTCGTGGGTTCGATTCTCACATGGGACAACTATTTGTGCGACCCACATACAGTTTTTTCGCATCTGAGTGTTTGTAAAACATCCTAACAAAACAGGATAATGTTATCCTAAATTAAGGGCGTTTTAAAAAAAATAATACTTCTACATTACGTCGACCTTTCGTGGCACCATATCGCTTCCCAAGACGAGTCTTCTCATTCGTCACTTGCTTGTCCACTAATCGAACTAAAATATTTAGATCCAGGATCCATTATTATTACGATATCCACAGTAGATCGATAAACAAACGTGTAAACCACTGAGTATGAAGTATATAAACCTGATATTTATATTATATAAATAATATACATGAACCTGAAATATCCACACCACCTGTCTTTTATGCCTCACATTACCACTCTCTGGAACCAGCTTTCGCCAGTTGTCTTTGCGAACCGTTGCCACCTGGGAACCTTCAAGAGATTGCTCTTTTGAACGTTGCCTGGTCATTGAGATCCAACCCAGTTCAAGAATATGCATTCTTAAAAACTCAGCAACGCATGTGTTAACGCTCTGCTATTGCAATGTTTACGGGTGGCGGTCATCACTTTCTATCCGCGAGAGCGCCCTGTCCCCTTTTTTCCATAAAAAATACATAAAATCATTGTTTCAATTTAGTTTTAGACACATCTGTCTGTGGATGTCTAGTAATGAGCAAGCGACGACTACGCCTCTGCCTCTCTTGCCTTCATGGAGTCATCAAATTTGTCATCCACTAAGTCGTGACTCAAAATTTAGTCAAGTCTATTTTGGTACCTACATGCAATACTACATAGTATAAAACGAAGTCTTTCCGCTGTCTGTCTGTCCCTATGTATGCTTAGATCTTTGAAACTACGCAACGGCTCTTGATGCGGTTTTTTTAATAGACAGTGATTTAAGTGTAAGGTATAGGTATAATCGTGCAACCCGTGCGAAGTCGGGGCGTGTCGCTAGTTTTATATAAATTGTTCATGCATTACAATTTCAACTTGTAGCCATTTCAGGGTGATTCCGTTTTGCTGTCTGCAAATAAAAGGATTAAGAAAAAAAAACAAACAACATCCATTTGTTTATTGTATTGTAAAATGTATTTAATAATCGTATGTAATACTAACAACATTCATACCATAAGCAGGACGAGAAAGGAAACGTACAGATAAAATAAACAAAATTTAATTTATTGATAATAATAACTAAAAAAAATATTTTACACAATACATTATAATTAGTGTTACACGACTAAGAATAATAATTATTTTTAACATATCAAAGACGTGGACTAGCAAATAAAAATTAACTTATACATCCTTCGTTTTTTTTAAACTTCAATAGGTGTCAAAGGAATTATGAATTAGGATTTTAGTGACAACTTCCTATGCAACCCGGCGGAAGGAAATGAAAAACGGCGCTTTATTGACATCGCGCATTCTGTGCTTGAGATGAAAGTGACAGAGACGCAGCCTCCCATCCGGGTGCGCGTAGCCCCAATTTAAGTATATAAATTACAGTTTAAAATATGGCAGTCCATTCCAATAACACGATGTAAAATTGAGAAAAATTGGTCTGAATAGAAATAAAAAAATAAACCGTGAAACCCATTGGAACCGTGCCGTCAAACTTTCCAATAAATATCATACATATACATACAATATATAATTCTAAGAGTTATCGTACACCGATAGGAAAAGAAGCCGTTACAGTAGAAAAAAATTGTTATCGTTTAAAAAAGTCTTACTCCCTATGCGTAGAACTAGCACACCATAGCTTAATTCTGAATTGCGTTTTTAATCTGTCCCACGCGGGCGCGCCAAAAGTATCGTCACAGTGCAATAAGCATCTCGTTCGCGAAACTTTGAACGGTTAAGCGGAACATTTAGAACTCGTTTACAGATAACACATTAAAATAGATTTGGCGCGTGGTTTCGTAAAATAAATTCGAGTCGACTGAACCCATAGACGGCGGCGCGAACAGGCCATTTCCAAACTCCCCCCTCCCCTCCCCCAACCCCGCGTCGGACAGACGTAACGGCATCCATAATGCGAAATATCCCTTACATAGACGATTAGATGCTTGCGTGTTTCTGTTTTGTGTATCAATTTGCTCGGTTAAGTTTACTTTCAATAAAAAAAAATAACATACAAAAACGCCATAATCGGGTGTAAACAGTAATAAAAAGTGGGAGCAAATTGATTGATATGCCACCGTGAGATACATTCGCTTGACGTGTGAGGAGGATTTAAACGATACCGTACTGGTCAGCAAGTTATGCGGTTGAAGGGCGCAAATTCGACGCGCCATAGACCGTATACGATTGAGCATGACATATGGCCCTTAGTATAAAATAAACGTGTATATTAAATCGTAAGCATAGTAAATCAGTGACATCCCGTGTTTGGTGTGCAGTTGTGTTGTCAAGTCTGCGCGTCCGCCTTAAATATAAACATCTACGTATATAATATAACCTATCTAAGACGAAAAGGCTTAAGTTTAAAAAAAAAACGCAAACAATAGCTCGACAACCGCCCATAGACTAAAATAAAATTTTAAAAGAAGCCGGAACCTAACGTAAGGTGTTTGCGCTTACAATTCGAACGAATACTGCGACGAAAGAAACATAATCATTACTTACCAAAAACTAGGATTAAACCACAAAGGAAAATCGGTATCGGCCCGATTTCAGAGCAACACATTAAGAAATTCAGCAACGTTAGAAATTTTCACGGGGGGCAGCGAATATTTTTGGGTATAACCGTTGTTATTTTAATCTTTTTTCTTTTACATTTAAGACACGGGCCACCCCCGCGGGTGGACCTTAAGCCACGCCCATGAACCACTTAAATAACTATACCTAACTTAGTCTAGTACAATGAACTCGGGGCGCGGTCAAGTTAAGACACCCCCAACATTATCGTACAAAGAATTACTCCGATTGTGATACACGTTTAGGCGTGAAGATTTTCAAATGGCAACACCGCAGTCGGTATAGGACAGGAGATGAACTGTTGTGTTCCGGTGACAATAAGTACTGTCGTTACGCGACGAAGAATCTGTTTTAAACTTTGCGAAGTTTAAAAGCTTCCATGATCCAATTTTTTTTTTCTCGAATGTGACGTAAAAATTGGCGCGCGAATTTTGACGCATCGAGCCCGCCTTTTGACTTTTGGCGCGCTCTATTTGCGCTATTTTTATTGGTATATTATTTGTTATTTGCTGTATTCGCACTATTTTTGATTTTGATCTCTGCGACAGAGCTTCTTAATCTTTGGTTGGCGCGACGTAACGGACAATTTGTCAGTAGATCGGTGCTCGGCTCCCGAATGTGCGTAAGTTTTGTGCGACCCGTTAATACGTGATCCCCAATCTATCAGAGGCTGTTAGAAAATCATGCCTCCGTACACGTTTTGCGTCTAGGCGAATGGGAGAATTCGTGGGTAATGTACACACGCGTACAAAATCAACAAGATAGTTACGAATACGTTTAAAAATTGTTTATAAACCCAGTACATTGAATCATATGAAAGTATAAACCGTCTTAAACTTAATCCTAACGTGAAATAAATTCATTTGTAAACGAAACAGAACCAAAAAGCGGCTTAGCTCTGCTTAAAATAGATTTGTGCTGTAATAAAATACTTTGTGGACGAGTGGTATAGTGTTAAATTAAAGACGAGATATAAGTGAAAGGTTTTACGGTATTTATCGACTGTGTTTTTTGCCCTGAATATAAGCGATTCGCTCAATTCGTTCTTGCTTACGTCGGAACATCGATTTGTGCAAATGAAGCAAGTACTTAACTGTGGTTCAATATGATACAATTAATACGGTTATTTGTAGATATTATCGACGATTTATTATTAACTTATACGACAATGCAGAATCGAATTAAAACCAACAGAAAATCACCATAACCTCTGCAATATTCTATTATTACATGAAATGTAAAATTATAAATAGAAGATTTAATAAATATTCTGCGCATAGTTCCCAAATTCATAGCATACGTCGATTTTTTCGATTTATAGTCGGTTTCCATTCGAGTCTGGTTAAACATTAAATTAACCGTTTTCCTGATCGGCGATACGCTTGGACATTCAAACAAACAAGTACACATTCAATAAATCACACGCAGTAAGAATACATTAATCATAATATTTGGTTCTTTAATTAATATTTTTTTTTCATTTTATATAAGCTATTTGAAATTTTTAAGATTTAGAAGTGGTTTGTGTTGTGCGATGTTCATCTGGAAAAGGGGAGAATTTACACATGTTAGTAGCGGTAAAACATGTTTGCGTCGATTCTCTGCTTCATTGCTAACTCATTACGAGTTTAAAATAATAAAAAATGAACATAAAACAGGCTAACACAGATTTCATAAATACGTTGATTGTTAAGAGAAACACGAGTTACTTAATTTTTCATTCGGATTTTCTAGAATTAATTATATGAATTCATTTAAAAATTAGATATAAAATAACGAATGGTTAAAAATTATAATTGCGTATACAAAAGTGAAATCCAGAAACAATAGCACTTTAGGCGCCATCTTTGGTGTGTCAAATATGTTTATTCTCAAATCTACTTTAAACTTTAATTTTAAACTTGTATGCGGCATTAGCTACAAGGCTTTTTGCCATCAAAAACGAAAAAAGGGACAGATTAAAAGGAGAACGCCCCGCGGCGATACTCACCGAGTCACGGAAACACAAATCGGCGTCCCGGCGGGCGCAGGCCGATCAGCCCGCTCCCATCGTCGCTACGCTACTCGTAGTCAATTAAAACCATTAACATGTATGCAGTATTCCACGTATAGTTATATAACCGTATAATATAATTGTATTAATAATAATAATAATAATAATATAAATGTTGTGTTGTGTTCGGAACCGTTTTGTGTAACGTACACACACACACACGCATTATCGCCACTCGCACACATAATAAACTACGTCCCTCCCATAGTGGTAGTTTAAATGCTTCCGTATTGTTAAGAGATTATACGACTATATATAAATAAATAAAGCGAAGGTAGTTTCACGGCCGCACCGCCTCCCCCCCACCCCCACGCCCGGCCCGCGCCGCGCAACTGCCGGGATCGCGAGATTGCGGGATTGGTGTTCCCGGAAAGATTCCGCAGAGGGGCGGGCGAGTCCCGTTCGATGGTTGGGGGGGCTGGGGCTGGGGTTGGGGCTGGGGGGGCGAGCGGCGGGGCGGGGGGGCGGGGCGGGCGGGGCGGGGCGGGGCGGGGCGGGGGGCGCCTAGTTCCAGATGCGCAGGAACGAGTCCCAGGAGCCGGTGGCGACGGCCATGCCGTTCTCGGTCACGCCGAGGCAGGACACGCGGTTGTCGTGGCCGGCGAGGATGCCTGAGGGGGGAAAGCGCAAGCGTTATAAACACCATTGATAAACGAAAACGTAGGTTTACCGCGCAAGGCCACGCAACAGTCTACGGACAGAAGACCGGCGTAAAGTAGAAGTGTTACACTTCTGCGTTTCGTCTGGTGAGTGAGGTAGCCGGATCAAACTTTATTAAAAGGTGTTGCTTACCACCTTTTCACATTAAAAGAAATAAGAAAACAATGGGCTGTTACGCAGACAGCCGATGGAAGTGAAAATATGAAACAATATCAATTTCAAAATTAAAATTGTATATTACTTTATAAAGTAAAAGTAAATTAACAGCCTATAAATGTCCCACTGCTGGGCAAAGGCCTCCTCTGTAAAGAGGGTATCAGGGCATAGTGTAGCACGGGACCCAACTGCGGATTGGCGGACTTCACATATTTTCCAAATAATTTCAAAAAAAATTTTAATAAAATTTTTGAACTCGGGTTGCTCGAGTTGCTCGATACCGATATATCAAGGCGAGCGCCAGAACACAGAGCTATTACGGCTCTTATAATATTGTACATATTTCATAGACAATGAGAGCTTCGGCTGCGGGGGTCGCGGGTTCGATTCCCTTACCGTAAACGTCCTTGCAACACAGGATAATGTTTAAAAAAAAGAAAAAGCCGACCGGCGCGCTCGCTCTTCATGGAGTCCCAGACGTTGCAGTTGAAGTCGTCGTAGCCGGCGAGCAGCAGCCGGCCCGACTTGGAGAAGGCGACGGAGGTGATGCCGCAGATGATGTTGTCGTGCGAGTACATCGCCAGCTCCTGGTCGGCGCGGATGTCGAACATGCGGCAGGTGGCGTCGTCCGAGCCCGTGGCGAACGCGAACCCCGACGGGAAGAACTGCCGGCCCACCCAACGATGCCATTGTTCAATCTTTAAAGCTATCTAGGATCTAGCTAGGATCTAGACACGAGTGCTTTGAGAGGAGGGCTCACATTTATAACGCGTTTTATGTCGATATATCAGGTCCGAATGTTTGGAAACATAAATATCGATATCTCTTCGTCGTCCTTACGAAATGGCAGTGTTACATTTCTGCGTGCTGTTTGATATGTCCACGCGTCCACGGTAGACTTTTTCAACGGTTACTATTTCGAAATTATGGGTAGACTACGCAACAGCTTATGTTTGCCTTTACACATTTTTTTATATTGCCACGTTGAGTGAGGTTTCTCTCTGTAGTTAGACCGCGCAACAGTCTTGGCTGTTGCAAAAATGGGCAACTCCGTCCGGGGAAATAACACGACCTCTCAAAAGACCCGTATGAAGTGGAAGTGTTTAGTTGTTGATTAGGAAAATATTCAATGCGTATGAGGGGGAGCGAGAGTCGACAATGACACCGATCTTACGATGACGTACAACCGTAGCCGGGCGAGGGGTGATGGTCATTGTGGTCATATTTAATTTCAGTAGTGGTCATGTTGGTGGAGGGAAGGGGGTTCGTAGTCGTGGTGGTGTTGGTAGTGTTAGTGTTAATAGTGTTGGTCATGTCGGTGGTCGTAGTGGTCGCAATGGTGTTAGTACTTATAGTGTTGATGGTTGTAATGACAGTGTTGGTCACGTTGGTGATCTTCGTGGTCATGGTGTTGGTGGTGGTAGTCGTGGTCGTGGTGACGGTGGTCGTGGTGACGGTGGTCGTGGTGACGGTGGTCGTGGTCGTGGTGGTGGTGGCGGCGCGCACCGTGACCGCGTTGATGTCGCTCTCGTGGCCGGGGAAGGTCTGCTTGCACTGGCAGTCGCGCACGTCCCACAGCTTGGCGGAGGCGTCGCAGGCGCCCGAGACGAAGGCGCGCTGGTCGGGCGCCAGCGAGAGCGACATCACGTCGCCCGTGTGGCCCGTGAACTGGCCGCACTGCTGGCCCGTCTCGATGTCCCACAGCGCGCTGCGACGTAATTAATGCATATACGGCGAAAGTAATACATATACGGCGCGTCGTTACAACTGCGACAATAAATGAAAACACGTCTAACGCTACTTGCCAATGCATGCAAATCATAAAAAAATCCGTAATTAAAAAAAATATATTTTTCAAACAAATCAATTAAATAAAACAGAAACAAAATTTGTGGCACCCTATACAGCTACAACCGACTGATTCATACATTCAGAGACTTTGTCATTCGTTGTCACAGGGTCGCATTACAAGTCTCTCCTTCTAACAGTATGTTTTCTCTTTTAAATTCATTCAACCCATTATGCTATGTGACCTTTACAAATGAATCTATATATAATAAATAATGTGTGTTTTGCAAAATTTAATAATTCGGTAATATTGATGTTTAAAGAATGTGAATGATTAATACAATTTTAAAAAGTAATCCTTTATGAAGACACATATCATTTATTGTCGCGGTTGTAAAGACACGCTGTATATGAACGATCACGCATTACACATGGAGCATCAGTGGACTAATACAGAGTATAATTTTAGTTGTTGTTCTGTAAATTTATGGAGAATAAATTACTGAAATTTTGTTTCTGTGAACACAACAATCACAAGCCAACTAATTGTTATTTAATTTACTTTGAACAATCATTTTTGTATTACTTTTTCGGAGTTCAGTTAAAACAGATAGAATTTTAGAAATTTGCTGATTAAGTCGAATGCAATTGTAAACACATATATTACGTAGCATATAAATTGCGGTATAAATTTCTCAAAAAAAAAAAAAAAAGTACAAAATCATTTTATGAACTAGTCGTTCATTTGGTTGTTATTTAGACAATCAAGTCCGCTCGTCCAGACGTTGGCACCGACCAGGTCATGTCGCCGGAGCTGGTGAGGATCTGGTTGTCGTCCAGGAAGCGGCAGCAGGACAGGTAGCCCGAGTGGCCCGGCAGCTCGCGGGACACGCGCACGTTGCCCTCGCGGGTCTTCAGGCTGCAGCACCAAAAGGGGGGTCGGTAACGCAACGATAGAGCGTAAGAATGCACAGGCAGAATATGGGGCTACTGAACATCAAGTACGGTGATGACCAACGACAGCCCTGGAGTCCCTGTTGGGCTCATAGAATAGGATTAAGGTAGCCCCTGCCCGACGTTAAAGGCGATTAAAACGGGACACGGATTGGCAGCAGCACGAAGTGGTCTCGAGCTGCCGTCTCCCGATAACCAACGAAGTGTATATGTATCATAAAAAAAAAGATAACAAGACCTCAGTTTCACGCCGGTTCTTTACTGGTAATATGGTCAAAGGTCATTAAGATAATAGAAAAATACGAAATGGCCAACAGTGGAATATTTGCGGTGAAATGTGTTAAGATTGAATAAATTTTGGTTTGTTGCTTTTGATTTACAGCAGATCGGTTTTAGTGGGTACGAACCCCACATAACCCTGTCCATATCATGACAGGGGTGGTTCGTGGTGACGGTGGGGTGGTTTGTGGTAGTGGTGCTGGTGATGGTGATGGGGATTCGGCCGACCTGTAGATCGAGCAGATGTTGTCCAGGCCGCCGCACGCCACGTAGGAGCCGGAGGGGGCGTAGGCGCAGGTCATCACCCACGAGGAGCGCAGCGGGATCGCGTGCACCTTGTTGGTGGTGTGGCTGTCCCACACGATCAGCTTGCCGTCCTGGCTGGCGGAGACCAGGTTCCTGTTGGAGTGGTCAGTTACGTGGTCTTTCAACAATATATATTAAATTTTTATTTATAAAGGCACACCAAAAACATGTTCGAGGTACAATAAAAGGTTAGAAGTACACATAATTAAATTAACATATCAATAACAGGCGTACACATCATTCACGAATAGTAAACACGCACGTGCTGTACAAGAAACTAATATAGAAACTATAAAATATAATAACTAATATAGAAAGGTAACTTAAACATATTAATAAACATTACAAATATTACTCAGACGAATGAATGTAAGTATGAGTATATACTGTACTGTCTAAGTATATCATATACAGCGTGTCGTTATAACCGCGACAATAAATGAAACACACGTCTAACGCTACTTGCCAATAATCATAAAAAAATATAAAACGTTAACAAAGTCCATAATTAAAAAAATATATTTTTCAAACAAAATAATGAAATAAAAAAGAAACAAAATTTGTAACATCCTATACAACTACAACTGACTGATTCATACATTCAGAGACTTTCATTCGTTGCCACAACGTCGCATTACAAGTCTCTCCTTCTAACAGTATGTTTTATCTCTTTTAAATTCATTCAACCCATTCATATGCTTTGTGACGTTTACAAATGAACTTTACGTTACAGTTTTATTCGTACGGGTGTTCTAAAAATGTTTGTTTTGTAAAATTTAATAACTCGGTAAATATTGATGTTTAAAGAATGTAAATGCTTTATACTAATTTAAAAAGTTATCCTCTATATGTGTGTTCATTTATTGTCGCGGTTGTAACAACATGCTGTGTAACTGTAACTGTGTAACTCTAAGTATATCATCATTTTTAAGTTCTGAATTCGAATTATGGAATATGTCAATTGAATATTTCCTGCATTCATATTAATACGTGAAGCAAAAACTTTGTATCCCTTTTTACGGAAATTGCGCGCGGTGGAGGAGTATGAAATTTCCAACACTCATAGTTTTTTTTTTAATGTGAGAAAGTGGCAAACGAGCTGGCGGTTCACCTGATAATAGATTTATAACCGCCTGCCCGTGGACATTCGCAACACGCGTAGTGTTGCAGATGCGTTGACACCCAATAAAGAGGGCCCCGGCTACCTCACTCACCAGACGAAACGCCAGAAGTGCAACACTTCTAATTCATGTCGGTCTTCTGGGAGGTATACAAAGAAAGAGTGCAGAATGCTAGTATTTTTTTTAAATTATGCATAAAAAATACATTAAATCAATATAGAAAACATTATACACTACCACGCACTAATGTATACAAGTCAATTGAAATCCAAATCAATTAATCCTTACTAATATTAAAAACGCGAAAGTTTGTATGTATGGATGGATGTTTGTTACTCTTTCACGCAAATACTACTGAATGGATTTTAATGAAACTTTACAATAATGTAGCATATACATCAGAATAAGACATATGCTATAATTTATATACATATTCTTATGTATATCTGTCTTTCTGTCTGAATGTTACGCCTTCAGCCTATTCTACGCAGACGTAGTCGCGGGCAGCAGCTCGTCAAAATTTTATTTGATATACGTCAATATTTTACACTGTCACCGTTGAAAGTATTACTATTTCCAAATAAGTACATATTCACAAGTTTCGTTCGAATGGTATAAAAGGGATAGCGTGAGAAAAAAGGGGACGGCAAGTGTTTATCACTTTAGCATGGAAATGTAAAAAAAAATCTCGTGGTGCACGTCGTAATGACGTTATCACAGACCGACTTTTCAGGTCATCCGCGTACTATATGGGTACGCTAACCACTTCTCGTCTATTCAAACGGCGTTTGAATTTTTTTTACTGAATACACTCCGTTAATTAAAAAGAGCGTGTAGACAATCTTATTTTCTACCTCTATCAACGTAAGGTAATGCTAATGTTTAAAAAGAGACAGTTTGATGAAACCGTGACGCAGTCGCCAAGGCATTGGCTTCGGCGTCGGGGGTCGTGGGTTCGATTCCCACACGGGACAACTATTTGAGTGACCTACAGATACTTGTTTCGCATCTGGGTGTTTGTCCACGTGAAATTAATGTTTGTAAAACGTCCTTAAAACACAGGATAATCTTATCCTAAAGTAAGGGCACTGTTTTTTAAAATAAAAAAAGACAGCCATTTAACCCTCTTAAAAATGAATCTTCATGTCTCGCCAACAAAACAGGAATGTGTGATATTTTATGTGAGTATGAGTATATTAGAGAAGTATAGAAAAGAGCAATTACATAATATCTTCTAGAGCGTGCAAGTAAATTATTCAATCCTTATTTCTTCCCGAGATTTTTTTACAGAAATAAGTTTGTAGTTTTCATTACATGTTTTATCTACCAACCAGTATTTTAATGAGATATGTAAAACATAGTAATTAAACTTCCACTTCCCTTTTTTGTAAAGTTCTGATGACAACTATTAATTTTCCAAATAATTGGAATATAAGCAATAAATATTATTAATTTTAAAAATTTAAAAAAATATCACAAACTTTCTAGCGGTTCCGGCCGATCGGTTCTTTGCGTAAGGAAACAGTTAATTCGTACAATTTCAGTTCAATATGGACTACGGGATATATAGTTTCCTTTGCAGCGAGATATTATCATCAAAATCCGGTCAGTTTTTGCCGCGTGAACAAACACAAGGTTTAGCATTTATAATAATAAATATCAGTGGCATATTATTGCGATTATAAAACTGGTATATACCACGGGACATTTAAACATAATAATGCGTAAACATGAGTATTTATTAATGAAAGCCATCTTATTTCGAAGCATATTAAAGTAACCCGATGGCGCCGTTGCCAAGCTATTGGCTTCGGCGTCGGAGGTCGTGGGTTCGATTCCCGCACGGGAAAAGTATTTGCGTGACCCACAGATAGTTGTTCCGGATTTGAGTAATATTTCCGTAGGAGGACGGCCGGTCGTAAAAATCATAGCCAAAACCCCGCTTACAAACATGATACAAATGTTGTCATGTTGTGGTCACATACCTGCGTGGGATAAGGTCAGGGGGATGATGTTCTTATTTCGAAGAATGACGCTAAAATTCAGTCTACTTCACTATATCTCCTTCAGTCTACTTCACTATTCTCTCAGTTCATACGAAGTATACGGAATTATATCAGAAGAGCGATTATCATGACACGAAACTTATTCGAATTTATTCTTGATGCAATTTTTATGTTAAAAGTTGCCAAGCGAGCGGGTGTTGTTAAGTGAAAACCGCCCATGGACTTGACTTGTACAACACCTGACGAGTTGCAGGTGCTTCGACAAATGTAAAAATCGGCCAAGTGCGAGTCGGACTTACGCAATAAGGGTTCCGTACCATTATCTATAAAAACTTTAAAAAAAAAAACCATGTCCGTTGTAAGGGAGCCTCACTTATTTTTTTTTATTCTGTTTTTTAGTATTTATTGTTAAAGTGGCAACAGAAATACATCATCTGTAAAAATTTCAACTGTCTTACTATCACATCATGTTCAAGATATACAGCCTGGTGACAGAACAGACAGACAGCGGAGTCTTAGTAATGGGGTCCCATCTTACCCTTTGGGTACGGAACCCTAAAAAGGGCCCGTTCGTTGCCTAATACAGAAGTAGCGACAATGCGTCGCTTTTAGTTATCGTCGGGACTTGTTGTTACCGATGTTAACACAGTCGGAAGCACCTCAGCCTTGTTCAGTTATGAAATGTAATGTAAACATGGCGTGAATGCGCGGAGTGATCTCAACGGCGGTCACAACAACTATTTATAATGTGCGCGTACCCAACTAAAATTTAATGCGCCGTGGGTGTTGCGAGTGCTTTCGCAGTCAATAGCGATCCGCCGTGTCGGGAACGAACGTTATGAGCGTAAAAACGAGGCAATTCGCCATGTGTTCATGCGCCTAGCCTGTCGATCAAGGCATGCGTACGAAAGCTTTGAAAAGAATTGTAAAATACACAGTTTTCTAATAACGTAACTGTGAGAAAGAAGGCAATAGCAGTGGACCTAATTAGGAACCTTGTGGAAACTTGACAGATGAAGTTATTTCAAAAGACCTATATACGTCCTATCAGAAAAAATCTGAATTAATCTTATTATACATAAATATAAGTTCACGCCTGCCACAGCTTGCGATAGGAAAAGTCGGGATTTCCCCTGTCCACGATCCCCGCATTAAGTTTGATTCTTCCGTCCATAAATCTAACTATATCGAAAAAATAAATAAAAACTAACAAACAAAAGAGAAACAAACAAAGCAATGGAAATGGAAGATATAAGAAACAAAACCAATATTGGCTCGGGGCGGTCCAATAGTATATGGAGCTCCGCTAGCCGTTCGGTGGACACGATACTCGCCTCTAAATTAAAACATCGTGACGTGTACAGATTTCCACACACCGCCCGTTTCCATCGCGTACGAGTCTGTGATAAATCAAACGTATCGGCCCACGTGATTGGTTCGCCGCTGAGAGCGATGAGATTTCATTTCGTGTCGACGTCGATGCGTAAAATCAAAGGGCAAACAGATTCCACCAAAGGACATTCGACTGTGTCAGAGTAGCGAACGTAATAACGAATGAGAAATACATAAAATTTGATGGCAATGCTGTGGGGAGGCTATTAATTATTCTTCGTAGATGTATTATAGGTTTGTTGCAATAGTAGGGCCTCGTCGGTGAACTCTCAACATCTCTGGCAAGTAAAAAAACTGCCAAATCGTGTATATTATTAGGAAACGAACACAAGTCGAGGAGAATTCTGATTCAGTAAACAATCTGTGATCTCATAAGTATTGTGAGAACTCATGTTACCTCATTCTTCGTCATGTTTCATCTAAAACAAAATCTCGTGTTATCCTTTCTTTATGCTGGGATAATGTGTTGAATTAACGCGCTACCATAAAAGGAGATTTCTCGGAATGCGCATCGACGCACAGTCAATAGTGGGAAGGAATTGTTCCCGTTAGAATCGGACGTTTGTTTTCCAACGCCTTGCGTCTAACGCTCCTCTCGTGAAGTATTTTTAGTGGCCCATTTTGCCGTATAAACAACAGATCTTGAGAAACACGTAGACACTGCACGAAAGGTATCGGTACATTACAATCCATTTAATCGCAAAGCGAACGTGTATTCGATAAATCGTAGTGCTCTCGGATCCTTGAGATTTTTTGGGGAATTATTCGATAGTGTGTACGATGACAGATTATGTCAAGTGTGCGACATTAAAGCTAGAGAAAAAATTGACAGAATCGGCCAAGGCTACCGATTTTTATGCGGGATGTTAGGGAGCGAGCTGACGGTTCATCTAATGTTGAGTGATATAACACTTGGGGGGTTTCAAATTAGGTACTTTAATAAAAGTGGCCTACGGTTCCCGCACTCACCAGAGGAAACGCAAATTTATTATTCTACCTCAAGCTGGTCTTCTGTGAGGCCCTCTTAATTTTCTGGATGAGCTAGGCCGTTAGTGTTACAACTAAAGCCGTTGTTTGGCCTTAACATAAAAGATGGAACGGGTTCTACTGGAGTGTTTCATTTACGCTACTACGAGACGGATTTAACCGAGGTAGACTAACCCATTAGTTTGCTTCGGTTAAATCCGTCTCGTGATCTAAAGCTACATATTTTGATTCTACCGTATACTTCATTAGTTGGAAAGCAAATGTTTTTTTTTTAAAGTTAATACGTGTCAAGCGGGTAGACCGTCCATCAGATAAAAGCCGCCTATCTACAACATCAATGTTACGGATGCTTTGCCAACCGTCATAAAAGTTTACCTCTAATTCAGCAGACGATATGCGAAAGAATAACACTTCCACTTTACGCTGCGCTTCTGTGAGGTCGTGGTACTTCCCCGGACGAGCCTGCCCATTCGTGCAACAGCAAATCCTGCGTGGTCCATCAGTAAACTAGCAGCCTATAAATGTCCCACTGGTGGGCAAAGGCCTCCTCTGTACAAAGGTTATTAGGATAGTTCACCACGCGGCCCATTGCGGATTGGAGGACTTATATCATGACATTTTTTTTTGTTATTGATGCCGGTTTGCCCACGATGTTTTCCTTCACCGCGGAGCACATGATGAGCCATCACTCAAAATTTCATCGGCATCGGGATTGAACTCGAGTTGCTCGAGTATGTTGAATCAAAAGCGGCCGCCCGGACAACGAGCTATCGCGGCTCGAGCCGCGTTGCCCTAGACCACAGTGTATAGTGCCGTGTCGAGGGTCTGCACCCACCTGGAGTCGCTGCCCCAGTGCATCGCGTAGATCTTGGCGAGGTGGCCGCGCAGCGTGCGCCGCGTCCGCATCTGGATGCGGCCGATCGGCTCCAGGTTGGCGGTGGCCTGGGCCAGCGAGGTGTCGCACGCCGCCTTCCTCGCATCCTGGCGGCAAGGAGATTAACGACACGTTTATTACACAACGTTCTCTAGTCCCAAACTAAGCAACGCTACTAACAACACCAGTTACCTAGTGCCCATAGTACAACTGTACTATGGGCACTAGTCTGTCAAATAACTATAGCTAGTCAAATAATCTACGGAAGAATAGATAGATCGAATATTGAAATCGGCCGTAAAACGTGATCACTAGTAATCTAGATCATTTGAAGTGTTTTTGATTATTGAAAAAGTAAAATTTGATTTGTAAAAGAATATGTACAATACAACGTGATGTTACGTCATAAATCCTTAAGTATCGCATGTTGTTTAACACCTCATGAGCATACAACCACTTATACTGTTCATCTAGATTAACAAATAACATCCAGAAAAATTTTAAAACATAAAAAACGTGTACAAAAATATAAATCAGTTAACATTCATATTAAATCATAAAATATCTAATCGAATAAACTTCTAAGAATAATATGATTCACTTAGCATCAATATTAATATTATATTGAAAACTTGATTTTAACCAACGGGGAAACACATATAGTAATTAACTAATTTCGGCGTTCGAATAATACATCCTTTAATATTTCCTGTTTATTGTACGAGTTATTGTACCAATGTGGATAATTTGTAATAACAATTAAATTTCTATAATTCAGGCATAGCTCCGTTTGAGAGCCAAGAGGCCGTTACAATTTCATGCTCGTGAATAATAAAGGAAACGACTCCAGCAAAATCTAATCGATTCGCTTGTTCGGTTTCATAGAAAACAGTGACGCGGCGTGGGATTTAGGTGGAAATGTGTGTAAGCGACGTGGCAGAAACTCTTAGAAAACAGTAGAGCATACAAAATGATACAACTATCACACCGCGGATGAAGAAATATCGATGCATTTCACATATCTAATGTCGTGCTGTAATATATTTGTGATGTGATGATAAGGGAAAATTTCAACTGTCTTACTGTAACGGGTCATGAGATACAGCCCGGTGGCAGACGGACAGACAGACAGCGGAGTCCTAGTAATGGGCTCTCGTTTTAACATTCGGGTACGGAACCCTAAAAGTACAGGGACAACTTTTCCAGGTCTCTTTCATTAAAAATGTAAATCTCACATTCTAGTTCATGGCTTAATGCCATTTTAACATGGAAATACCAGAACAATCAACAGTAGAGAATGTAATGTTTATTCAGCTAAAGTATTTTCTTGTATAGTGTATTGTGAGTCGTTTTGCCATGACAAGTCCGAGAAACACGGATCGACGTTGTTTTTGGAGTGAAAGAAAGTGTCGATCACAAAGTAATATGGAATGAGTTAATGAATGTTATTTGAACATCGCCACAACACATTTTAAAACCATCCCTATATCAATTCAAAAGGATCCCGATAATTGGTTATTAGTAAATTTTACTGTGAATAACGTTCCTGCTTTGTCAAATAATGTTTTAAATATAATTCGTAGAAAAGTTAAAAGCCCGATTGATCGATATTTCTAAGATAACTTAGATACGACTTTGACAAAATAAACTCTAAATATGTAGTTTTAGGACAATTTAAATTTAGAAATAAAGCAAAAAAGCACCTAAATCTAATCCACAATGAAACGTCGTAGTTGTTTTATAAATATAGCTCGTGCACAAGAACACGCAAAAATCGCGAGTGAAAATGGCCTATCGCTAAGTAGACGTAGTGACAATAGCAAAAAAACGTTTCTCCTCGTGTCCACTCACCCGTATCGCGTTCTTCAGGGTCTCAGCCTCCTGGCGCAGGCTGTCCAGTTCGTTCATGGTGGCGCGCTAGCTCCGAGCCCCGGCTTCACTTGCTTCAGAACGCGATGCCTCCGCTCGCAACGCCACACGATCCGCCGACCTGCTGATAGCGGACAAACACAATTAACCACGTATGATATTTTTTTTGCGTTCACGCGACAACACAATACACATTACTCAAACTACACGACGGTGTGGCAATGGGCGTTTACCTTAGTGGCTAAAGCGTCAGGGCGCGAATCCCGCAGACGTGTGTTCGATTCCCAACGCGGCGAGAAACTTTTCGTACTTTTCTTCTACAAATTTTAATACTCAAACTATATCAATCAACCGGCCTATTGCAGTCCACTCTGCTGGATATAGTGTTCCCCAGGTGCACGTCACAGTGCACGATCTTTCACTACCCTCATCCAGCCTCTACCAGCGACCTTGTTCAAGCTTTTCCACATGGCAGGGGCCGTCCCACACTGTGTTTGCCGAGGCGTGGTCTCCATTCGAGTATCCGTCTACTCCAACGCTCATCGATTCTACAACAGATGTGGTAGCCCGTGCCATTTCAGCTTGCTATGATAATATAAAATTAAAATTTGTACAAAATATTGATGATCCAGGTATTGCTTACAATGCGAAACAACGACGTAGATAAAAAATATTGAGATTTATCGTCGGGGTGTCAGCCGTTTAGCTTAGTGGTTAAAGCGCTTGAGCGTGAATCCAGATTCCAGAAGATGTGGGCTCAATTCGCGTAGTGGCCACAGGCGTACAAATTTTAATGCTTCATCTTAAGTGCAGATATGTGCATTAGAACTATAAAAATATATATAAAACAATGCAGTGTAAACAAAAAAACATAAACGATACTGCTTACGATTTATTTATAAATTTAACTACAGCGTAATTAATTAACTTCGTACTGAATTGAATAATAAAAGTTTCGGAGCACGCATGTACCATAGACCGTAAAAGGTTTTTATACCTTTACTATCAACTCTCAAGTCATAAAATAAAAAGTATAATATTGAACATAAAAGGTGTTAATTTGACTGGCGGTTACGGTCTGGACGAAAACTAATATGACAGTAAAAAAAATATTGAGAAAATTCTTAGTCCTTGTGGAAATGGTTGAGAATATACATTTTACTCTTCTCTCGTTACCTCGTAAAAATCCTCCAAAGTGAACCAATTACAAAACCCATAAAATTTCGCATATGGAAAAAAGGACAGCGTTATTTTTTTCATACATTATCAAAATAACATATTCAAATTGTACTCGGTTATTTTTGAAATGCAAGTTTATATATGTATTGGTGTTATAATTCATTTAATGTTATAATTTGTAATTTGTAACCGCGCCAAATAAATAAATAACATGGGCAGGCAATACAGTCGAGTGTAAATAGTATTAAAGTAATTTTTTCAGCAATTTGATTTTTCTCAAGCGATTTTTTATTAAAGGGCCGCGGTACTACCAAGTTTGCAAACTACTACGTTTGGGTCTATCATCACTTCCCATAGTATTCTTGGCCGGGATGCTCTGTTTTATTGCCATACAAGGCATCAGAATTGAACGGTTGACAAATATAGCGGGTACTAATAAGGCCTGGTATTTTCGGTGAACTTTGGGCGGAAATAAAACGAGAAAATGTCGGTGTTTTCGGCGTCCGGTGGTTATTTCCGCTATCGGCAAGAGCGAGCGAGCGGCACGGCAACAGAATTAGAGAGAGACGGGACATTGGGACATTCGCAGGTCTCAGTAGCCAGGGCCAAACATTTAAGATATCTTATACCAAATACCCCAACCGTTATAATTGTCTAGAGTTTATTATTTATTTATTTATTTAATTTTCAGTGAACTATAACCATTAAAAAAACACCAACAAACATAACATAACATGACATGACGACCCGAATGGCGTAGCGGGTAGGCCTTCTGCTCCAGAGGATGTGGGTTCGATCCCCACTACTGGAAAAAATATTGTGTGATAAACTTGGTGGTTTTCTAGTGTCTGGGTCTTTATATGTATAATATGTATTTATTTACAAAAGAAAAGTATGTTTATCAGTCTTCTAGTACCCATAGTATAAGCATTGCTTTGTTTGGGACTAGAAAATGTTGTGTAAAAATGTGTCCTAAAATATTTATTTATTTATTTAAGAAACGCGTGGATTTAAATTAAGAAGGAAATAATGTTATAATATCGAATAATTAACCGGCGCCATTCTTGTGGGGGCAAAACGGCACAATAGCACGTCCTACGACACAAATTGCTTCCAATGAAATTCTCATCATCGTCAACTTAATACATAAACTGTTGACCGCACGTTGTGTCCACTTGATGGTGAATGGTCACCGTCGCACTAGTTGGGTTAGCAACCTTAAAGCGATGCTGATTGCCGAGTTTAAGACGGCGTTCTGCGCTGTGATATTTCCGTGGCTTTTTTATAGAAAAGGGAGACAACTGTAGTAGGACCGGCCACGCGGCGTAAAGTAGAAGTATTTACACTTCTGCGTTTCGTCTGGCGAGTGAGGTAGCCGGGGCCCTTTGTAAGGTGACAATACCTTTGCAACCCTACAGATGTTGCAACTGTTCATTGGCGGCAGTTATCACTTAACGTCAGGTGAACTGCCGGCTCGAGAAGGCAAGTTGTGATCGTAAATGGGTAGAGTAATGAACACGGAGAAAGATTTGGATGGAGTGTGTGAAGGATGATATGCCTGTGAAAAGGTTGAGTATTGAGAAGACGACTGATAGAGGAAGTAGTAGGCAAGATCGGGACATAGATTGTGAGGGCCCAACCTAATGAGGGATAAGGACAGGAGAAATAAAGAATTTTCTGCAATGGTGACCCGGTTTGAATCACACAATCAGTTTTGTTATCCCGTATCGTTTCTTTGATTGTTGCGATGTCAAATAAACGGCTTCCCTTTTTCTCTTACATTCTGATCGACCCGGAATTGCGAGCCCAGTGCACGTCCGAATGCGGAACAGCTCTGCACAAAAGCCTAAAACGAAGGAAAGGTCGAAGGTGCATCGCTCAATGGCAACACAGCACCGGCATGACGAACGCAACGGGGAAGTCGAAAGTTGCAACGACGTCAACGAGCCAACTTCGTAATGGTGTATTTGCATACAAAAGTTCGGCTCGCTTATTATGCGTTGCGGGTAGTACGCTCGCGTGCGCCACTATCGTATTCTTTAATACGACGTAGCATTTTGAATGCAACCTTTTGTTTTTTACGTGGTGAATTGCCAAGCGGGCAAGACGGTTCGCCTGATACTAAGTGATATCCGCCGCCCATGACAGCTTGCGAATGTCCAAAAGGTAATTTTTTGTATATTCCTATTATTCAATATAACATGTACATTCTCCACCACACTAATAATAATATAATTAAAAGTAAAAATTTATATAATTTTTTCTTAGCTATTATACTTCACCTACATGCCCTAAAAAATTATTCTCTAAAATATTATTAAAACGAATAAAATAAGCTTATATTTTTGATATATTTTTTTTTAATGTGAAAAGTTTCCAAACGAGCGGACGGTTCACCTGATGTTAAGTGAATACCGCCGCCCATGGACATCTGCTACTCCCGAGGGTTTGCAGATGCGATGACAACCTTTTTAGAAATTGGGCATCGGCTACCTCACTCACCAGACGTAACGCGAAAGTATTATACTTCCATTTTACCCAGGTCTTCTGTGAGGTCGTGGTACTTACCCGAACGAGCCTGCCCATTCGTGCAACAGCCGAGGCTGTTGCGTGGCCCTATCACCGTGAAATTTAAAAATAAATTTAAAAGCATCACTGTGTATTTTAAGATTTAGTAAACTACCGTGAAAAATGTTATATATATACTGTATGAGTCGTTATTGTGCTAATCAGGTATTAAATCAGAAATCGACACTAGAAACCAAACCGCTTAAGCTTGCAACCAATCGTGACATCGGAATCCCGATAATCGACAAATCTCGGTATATTTAACCAAAACTTTAAATCAATGAATTCAATTATTACACAAACACGGTAACTTCTTAACGCTGCCTACACCATTGAGCTATACAAGGCGTGCGCTTTTACGCCTATATGCAGACAATGCGACGCGCTACCGAAACTATGGCGTATCGAAATATCGTGTGACGCAAGGGACAAAGGACATGTCGCGACACGTGTCATCAGATTCACCACGCGCTGTTGACAGGTTGCGAAAGGACCCAGCGTTGGAAGTTTTTTAACCGACCTCAAAAAGGGGGGTTCTCAATTCGTTTGTCACGTCAGAACTGTGCCAATTGTGAACAGATTTTTAAAAATAGTCATGATTTTTTATTAAATCATTATTGACCTTCCTTTAAGATAACATTATCTTTGTTGTAAGGACGTTTTACAAAAATAAATTTCGCGTGGACAAACACCCAGATGCGAAACAACTATCTGTGGGTCACACAAATAGATGTCTCGTGTGGGGATCGAACCCACGACCTCCAATGACGAAGCCAATACCTTGGCGCCACGGAGTTATCAATTGAATTTGGTATAGCTTCCATGTGGGCTGGTACCCATACCAGCCCACATGGAAGCTATACCAAACCCGCTGTATCTTTTGAGTCCCAGGTCCCAACCTGGGACTCAAAAGATACAGCGGGGTTCTCTTCAGAATCAAATGGAAAGTGCATATTGTTATATAAAAATATCTCACCCTGTATGTGTATGCTGTCACTATATTTTTTTATATGAGAAGGTGGCAAACGAGCTAGCGGTTCACCTTATGTTAAGTGATAACCGCCGCCCATGGACATCTGCAACACCCGTAGGGTTGCAGATGGGTTGCCACCTTTAAATTAAGTGGGCCAATGCTACCTCACTCACGTGACGAAACGCAGAAGTACAATGTTTATTTACTTCACGCCGGTGTTCTATGAGGTCGTGGTATTTACCCACCTAGGGAAAGACCTGCCCATTAGTGCTACAAGCGTAGACTGTTGCGTCGCCCTAAATATGAAGGATATTTTGGA